GCATGCAATGTTGGGGTGCGCCTTGCTGCGCAGACAGATGTCCAATTGAGAAGTCCAGCTTCGCGGGGCTGTGGTGTGCTTTTTGAGACAATCGTGACACCTAGTAGAGGTGGCTACAGAAAAAAACCTTCGGTCAGTGGAGCAAGTAATCCTGCGTGTAGTCGTACATGCAGCCGACACCGCAGGCTGCTTGTTCCAAAATACCTTGGGCACGAAAAAACACACGAAAACTTACCGAATACTGTCCATGCCAAAAGCCATAGTCCAGACTATAGAAATGGCAGGCCGACGGGCCGAAAAACTATCTAAACTTTTGCCAAGCTTGACTTGACAAAAACACAATGATGCAGTAACGTAAACTAAGCAAAACGTGCACTCTAAGTGTCCCGAAGCTTTCTGGGTTGAGGGTCCAGGTTTTGTCGACATTGGGGACGGTAGCTCAACAATTTTCGCTGCTCTCGGTGACATAAAGCGGAAATTGTGCAGTGTTGCTGACCTTGTATTCGTGGCGACTGTGCATTGGGGTTTCATGTTGCCTAGCTCGCAGACAACTTAGAGCCCTAATCCGCGCGTTCCCTGGCAGAGAGAACGGCCAGATCAAGAGAGAGAAAGAGAGAGAGACAAAGAGAGAGAAAGAGGGAGAGAGAGAGACAAACACACACACACACACACACTCGCTCACTCACTCACTCCCATCCATGACATTGGTAAACCTGTACAACCCCGGAGCCCGACAAACATCCAATGTATCAACCCATGAAGTCCCTATTAAAGCCCACAGACCCGTCTAATTGGTTTTAGCGGTCGATGAAGTCGCTATAAGCCCTAAATCTACACCCTAAACCTTATATACCCCAAGCCCCCTCGATTCTAAACCCCGACCGTGAACCCTACTTTCAACCGCGTACTTCTAAAAGCCATTTAAGGCAGCCTGCAGCTGTCCTCCATATCGTTTCTCGCACGGGTGCAAAGTGGCATTAGGTGCGGAGCGGCCTGCGCCACCAGATTCCAGAACTTGATAACACGGGTTTACGTAGGGTTTTTACGGAACGTTCCTAAACAAGTACAAGTAAAGCGATGCTTCTGCTACACTGCGACAGTTTGGAATCTTGGGCATAGCAGAGCCGTTCAGGGCTAGGGGTTTAGGCTTGTAGGAATTCAGGTCTGTGGGGCCACAGGGCATGGCTAGAATTTCGTCGTGCGGTGAGTAATGTAGGAGTCATAGGAAGAATAACAATAACCTACTTGTCGGGTATCATGGGGAACTAAAGGCTAACCTTGTTGGTTATATAGAGTTTTTATACGAACTATATTTCCCCTAAAAAAGGTTACAAGTTACCTACTCTACTACTAGGATAACCGAAATAGTACCCTTGAAGCAGTAAAAGCGATCTAACAATAGAGGAGAACCATGACAAAAATAATGACCCTCATGAGCATGGTCATGATCATCATCACCACCATGGCAGTAACAGTATCAGCGATAAACATGAACCGAAAATATCATAGTGGCAATCTTGATCATTATTGGCAAAAGAAGATACTGGACATATCGGAGCAATAGTTGTATTACCCATCGTAACAATCTTACAACAATACACTGCTAAAGCTGAGCAAGGCTAATCTGCTACTTCCGCTACTTCTACTTAGTACTACTACTACTACTACCACTACCACTACCACTACCACTACCACTACCACTACTACTACTACTGCTGCTGCTGCTACTACTACTACTACTACTACTACTACTATTACTATTACTACTACTACTACTACTACTACTACTACTACTACTACTACTACTACTACTACTACTACTACTACTACTACTAATACTACTACTATTACTACGACGACGAGTACGACTACTACATAAACTACGACTATAACTACGGTTAGGACGGGGGTTAGCGTTCTGGGTTCGTCCTGCGACCCTGAACCTAAACCCGGAACTCGACACCTCAATTGCGGCGTAAGGGCTCTATGAAGACAGATTGACCGCATACACTCGTCAACCAAAGCCAAACAACAGTGCAACCTCCCATGGAAAATCTTACATCGTCCCATGAGCTATACTGTACTAAGTACTATAAAGGATACTATGCGATATTGTACTGTACGAATGGTACTACACAGACTATACAATACTAGACTACACCACATACACTGTACAATACTACACTCTACCATACTACACTACACAATACTACGCTACACGCTGTTCCATACTATACTATTTCCCTAAGGGTCCAAGTACCTAACACTCATATACTCTCCCAATTGTTGAGCTACATAACTACTATTCTAAACCCAAGGACCTAATTTTTGGGTCCTTTGGACCCTTACTTAAAGGATCATGGGACTTAGTAACTAGGGTTATAATTAAGGTAACCATACTTACAATTACTTATAACCCCACTTAGGGGTACTTATAACCATACTTACTAAGTCCCATGATCCTCCAAGTAGTTCCACGGTAAGTAAGGTTATAAGTAGGTTATAATTAGGATAACCCCACTTAGGGGACTTATAACCCCAATTATAACCTACTTACTAAGTCCCATGAGCCTTTAAGTAGGGTTTGGGGATCCCTGGGAGCCCGGGAGCCAGGGCTCTCACGGTTGCAAGGCGCCGCTGCAAGGCAGCAAATCGCTCCAGGCTTCCTCCGAAGCCTGGAGCCACGGTTTAGGGTTTAGGGTTTAGGGTTTAGGGTTTAGGGTTTAGGGTTCCAGGCTTCCTCCGAAGCCTGGGCTCAGTGTGCCCCGGCTTAGTGTCTGGCAATCGGTGTTCTGATTTTTTTTTTTGCCCCTCTGGGGCTTCATACTGGGTTTAGGGTTTTAGGGGGAGAGAGAGAGAGAGAGAGAGAGAGAGAGAGAGAGAGAGAGAGAGAGAGAGAGAGAGAAGAGAGAGAGACAGAGAGAGAGACAGAGAGAGAGACAGAGAGAGAGAGAGAGAGAGAGAGAGAGATATAGGGAGGGAGGGAGGGAGGGAGGGAGAAGGAGAGTTTATCCCGGTCGCTCGTCGCATCCAAGCCGGCCCTGCACAGAACCCGGGCAGCAAAGGCTGATGGTTAGGGGTCAAATTTTTGGACGGAATAGCTTACCTACCCAGAGGGTCCACATATACGACGATTATGAAATTAGGTCCCCAAAACCATCATTCGGATGGTCTCTTGGGGCCTGATTCCATAATGGTAGTGTATATGGACCCTCTTGGCTACAGTCTCCACTGTAGGTCCTTTTTTTGAACCAAAATCTATATTATAGGATCCTAACCATAAAATTGGGTAACCAAACAAGGAACTGCAATGGAGACTATAGGTAAGGTCTTGGGTTTACGGATTACAGGGTTACGGCCCAGGTACTGTGGTTTGTTGGGTACTGTCTATAGTGAATAACATCAAATACAGCTATCGATCAGAATCGCTCAGCAACCACAATGAGTACTCACAATGGAAATTCATGAAGTCGGGGTGGCGGTGTTTGGGCTTACGCTAGTACGTAGAACCGACACTGTTCATACCTCGATCTGAAAAATCCGCAACCTGTTTTCATGCTTCGACACAAATCCCTGAACCCCAAAACACTAATAACATCTTGCAAGATACTCTGTGCTGTCATCTCAGCATTCGTAAAGATGTTATACTACCGAAGCACACCTTCAACTACCATCAGCTGCGTTCTGTAGGTTCATAGTTGGTAGTTCAAATCGGCTACCTCACGACAAACCGGCAGCATCTGGCAGCCAGGCTCCTCGACCGTGGAACTACTTGGAGGATCATGGGACTGTGTAAGTATGGTTATAAGTACCCCTAAGTGGGGTTATAAGCAATTATAAGTATGGTTACCTTAATTACAACCCTAGTTACTAAGTCCCATGATCCTTTAAGTAGGGCTCAACCCTGAACCCTGGAACCCACGCTATCCACACCTGAGAACCGAGAGTTCCAAAGCCCCGAAAACGCAGCATACATGCGCACAGCCAGACTTACCAAGGTACCTTAAAAAGCTACATGTACAATTTGTTTAGGATCATATGTCTTTTACAGGTACATAGGTTAATCTAAGTAACCCCTGAACTCTAGACCGTCGCCCCAACATTATATAGGGGCGTTGATGATGAAAAGCTCCAAGAAACTAAACACTGAAATCCAAACCTCGACGCCGAAAAAGAACAGTAGAACAACTAGACACCGTAACCCAAAGAGGCCACGACCCGTGTTCTTGCGCCGCGCTGAGACATCCTGGTGTCGGATTTCAGCAGCGTCTGGGATTAGGGTTTGCCCCAAGGCCGGGGCAGCGTCTTGTACTCACAGATGCTGTATACATGTTTGAACTAGGCTATGAAATGATTTAGGGTTTTACCTGAACCTCGAAACAATGGAAACACATACCCAACAGTTGCACTTCCCAAATCCTGAAGCTCGATTTTCAAACGCACAACAACACAAATCTTAATCAGTATTCATACCTATAGGTCCAACATATTCCCAAACGCCCCAGATCTCAAAAGCGTCAAATCTTCGTTTTTTGGACCATGTCCTCTTCGCAAACCTCAATCCCAAAAGCCACGGCTGAAGGTTCAGCTAAATGCGGGTTTCGATTTTCTATTATGCAACTAGAAACGATGAAGGTTCAGAACTGCTAAAGCACGCCAATTGGAAGGGCAGAGCTTCCTGCGGAGGAAGTGCATTGATGGCGCCACGAACCTTGGGAAGAGAGTTCCCCAAACCTTCCAACATCCCTTAATTCAGGAATATACCTTAAATCATACTAAGGATCCTACTATAATTTAAGGGATATTCCTTAACTAAGGGATTTTGGAAGGTCTGGGTCATTACAGAAGAGCGAAGCGTGTGATAGGGGTTGCAGCAGTGGTGCTGCATGTCTGCAATCTGCAACGTCGTTTGCATAAACTGCTGGGGGCTTTTCGAGACTGCCTGCGAGGTATACAGCAGAGTAGGGTAGAGGGTTTGGGATTTAGGGTCTAGGGTAGACAGACAGTCTTGCAGAGTCTTGTACCAATCTCATACAAGCCTTATGTCAGAACAACTGAAGGAGCTGGGTGGAGTCTTATTCGGACAAACGTCTTCAGCTGCCAGGTCTATTAATCAATTATGCACGGAATTCGAATTCAGTTCAGATTGTTGGGATCAACCTAAGCCCTAAACCCCTAAACCCCTAAACCCTAAACCCAAAGCCCTAAACCCTAAACCCTAAACCCCTAAATCGTAAACTCTAAATAGGGAGCTTTGGGAAGCCTTCAGGTTGTCCCACATCGGCAGTGCAAACCATTTGTTGGATGGGCTTGCGGATGGATGCCTTAAATTTAGTTTTAGGGGTGGTGCCAGGCCAGTTTGGGACGATTTTCGCGGTCTGACTCAACGGCGTTCGCGATATGGTTCTGCCTCACATCGGAACGATTCGAAACTGTCAGTATGAATGGGTTCCAGAGCTGCTTGAACAACTCCGAACCAAGCCAAATCGAGACTTGTTGGCTCAGTTTGGAGGTCGGCAGGTTTGATAAGACGGGATGTCATGCCAGGGCTACAGCAAGCCTTAGAAACAAAGGGCGTGGAACCACCAAAGTTGAAAGCCCCTGAACCCCGAAAGTCCTTGTAAACGAAAATTACCGGCCCTACTTGGAGGATCATGGGACTTAGTCAGTATGGTTATAAGTATCCTAAGTGGGGTTATATGGACTCATAAGTACAGTTACCCTAAGTCCCATGATCCTTGAAGTACCGATGACTCCCTGAGCTTAGCAGCCTCCAGCAACTGCGAGATTTCCGTGCGGAGGCCGCTCGCAGTCTGCCTGGCACACAGCTCACAGCTCACAGCTCTCGCTTCAGTGCAGGGTTTAGGTTTTAGGGTTAGGGTTTAGGGTTCAGGGCTTAGGGTTAGGGTTTACGGTTTAGGGTTTGGGGTTGGGAATTTACCTTAACCCTGAATAACCTACCTTTTCAGGGTTCTTTATTCTGATTGCCTTATATAAGTCCTCAAGAAGGTAGGTTATTCCGGGTTAAGGTAGGGTTTAAGGAGAGAGCTTGGCAACTGTCGCGAAGCCTGGACCCTGAACCCTTGCAAAGTGCAGGGCTGAGGCCCCAGGAATGTTGAAACTACTAGACTCCAACACCCGACCCCTACGCCCTAAAGTCCTGAATCATGAACGATATCTACGTTTTTCTACGTAGATCTCGCACTTGGAGGACAACAGGAAACGGTGCGAAAAACAACAAAGCCAAAGGGTCCAACCCTTGGGCTTATAGGGGTTTCTATTGCTTAACGTCAAGGTTTTGGAGATTCTTGAGAAGAGTTTACAAATTAGCCATTGGAGGCGCATGGAAAAAGCAGCATCGAGACATGACAAAGAAGCACACGAGTTGCTAAAGATCCTCTTCTTGCCCGCTATATGCTAACCCGTCCATTAAAACTCTAAACCCCTGAACTCCTGAACCCTTTATTTGTAAACTCTACACCCTAAATCCCTAAACCCCTAAATTCCTAACCCCCTAAACTCTAAATGGGAGTTTCCGAAAACTAGGGTACCTTATTTTGGGATCTTTATAATAGGGGTCCCACGATTTAGGGTACCATATTAGGGTCCCCTATTTTCGGAAACTCCCAAATCCTAAAACCTAGGATCCTTACCGTTTGGCCTCATCTTGTCCAGCTCTCCCTGCAGCCACCGGCGTTCCGTTTCCGCAACGTCCAGCTGCCGACCTTCCGGCGTCGCTTTACGCAAGATTGGGGTTTAGGGCTTAGAGCTTAAGGGTTTAGGGGTTTAGGGTTTAGAGGTCTATAGGGTTTAGGGCTTTGGGGTTTAGGGGTTTAGGGTTTAGAGGTCGAGGGTTTAGGGCTTTGGGGTTTAGGGGTTTGGAGTTCAGGGTTTAAGGCTTACCCAAAACCCCAAAACCCCGTCAAAGGGCGGTCTTCCTGAATCGTTAGAGCAAGGCTCCTTTGGGGGTCATGGGGGCCGTAATGGTTGTTAGGGTAGCGTTTTTCCTGCTATATTCTAGTATAATGATAACAGGGAGCCCTGACGAATATTCGGTTTTTGATTATGGGAAGCTGCTAGAGCTCCACGATTGCCAACCGACACTCACTCGAAATATTCCTACGGAGCATCTGCCAAACATCGAACTCCCACGAGCATCTGCGTAAAATATGTTGGCTGCTATCTGAAGCCCTAAACCTCCAAAGGTATCCCTGCTTTGTCGCAGGACACGTTCCTCAACCTGAGATCATACAGTTCTGTGGAATCTTGTGAGTGTTTGATATAGGACAACAAGAAGGACCTCAATAAAACAACAGCCCAAAACACCTTAATCCAACAACACAGCCTGAAACCTCACCCTGCGTCATGAGCCCTGAATTCCAAACGAGTAAGGGTTTAGGGGAGTTTAAGGATTCGGGGTTTCGGCTGTAGTCGTGTCTGGAATTCATCCTTGCACGCGGCGTGGCCGGCCTAGCTCAGAGTAAGCCGGTCTCAGCCGAGAAATTTCTTGCTCAGCCTGACAGAAGTTGTGGGGTTCAAGGTTTACACTTTACCTGATCCCTAAATAACTTACCTTTTAAGGGTTCCCTCTTGTGAGTTGTCTTCTACAAAACGTCGAGAAGATAGGTCTTTCAGGACCTACATATCGGACAAATGCCAGGATTGCTTAGGTTTTGATTGTTCAAGGCTTAGGGTGTCCAGTGCTTTTGTGAGCCTATCATACACACCATTCAAGTGCTCATATACCATGTGCATGCTATTGATATAAATGTATATATATATATATATATGTATGACCATATGGAGTGTTTGCTTTGCAATGGATATCCTGCATAGTAAATAGCAAGCAGAGGGCTCGGGAATTAATTGGTTTTCGTGCCATGGTTACTCGCACCCCTTCAGGTTGGGTCTCTGGTTTAAAGTTTCAAAGAGGCAGGGCCGGAGAACACGAAGCAGGATCCTTGGACAAAAACTGACACCGAAAATCTTGAACCCTGAAACTGAAACAACGAACACCAACGCCATCAAGATGTCGCTCCAAGAACCTGGAACCCAGACCTTCCAAAATCCCTTGATTAAGGAATATACCCTAAATCATATTAAGGATCCTACTATAATTTAAGGGATATTCCTTAATTAAGAGATTTCGGAAGGTCTGGAAAAGCCATGACATGAACAACCCCAAACCTTCCAAGCCCTGTGGGCCTGGGCCGTAATCTAAATGTGTCAGAATATCTCAAGTTCTCAACATACCTTATTTTGGGGGTCCTGATAATAAGGATGCTACTATTTGGGTACTATATTGGAGTCCCCTATTTTGGGAAACTCCCATGGTAAACTCATGCCCCGAACCACTAAAACCCAACACCGAAAACCCGGAAGTCCTAGAGCTCTAACCCTCCACCCTCATAGAACACAATAGACATTGACAAAACCTAATGATATCTTTCGATTATACCATATAACCGAAACCTCAAACCCGAACCCTAAAGCCCTAAACCCTAAAACCCTAAACCCTCAAACCTTAAAACGTTTCGGGCAAGCCTCCAACTTACGCTTCTTGGCCAGGTTCAACCTGGAGTGGACCTGGAATTAGGTTTAGGGGTTTTAGGATATGAGGTTCCTGAAAGGGATCTATAGGGTTTTTTTTGGGGATCTATAGGGTTCCTTATAATGGGATCTATAGGGGTTTAGACTTTTTACGGTTCAGGGGTTTAGGGGTCTAGAGGTTGAGGGTTCAAGGCTTACCTGGACCTCAACAGTATTTAGAATAATAGCCTTTCATAGGTGTTGGGCCATCATTTTACCTGCTTTTGGGGGGTATAGGTACGGCTTAAGAACTGAACCCTCAACCCTAAACCCTAAACCCTATACCCTAAACCCTAAACCGAAGGTTCAAGGTCTAGGACTGACCGCTTCTGGTTGGGGTTCTGGGCTTTGGCCAGACCAAAGAGTAACAAAGGAATAAAGAGGGTGCCCTTGTTAGTTTAAAGGGGGTTATAAGGGAACCTGAACCCTTAAAAAGGGAATAAGGGCCTACTCTGGGTCCTAGTTGGGGTTGAAGGACTTGGGGCATTTTGTTTAGCTCCTTTTTGCGTCTGCTCGGCATCCAAGCAATTACAAGGCACATGTGCACCTGGGTTCCCTAAACCCTAAACCCCTAAACCCTAAACCTTAAACCCTAGGGTTCAGGCTTTAGGGATCGGGTTCAGGTCTTCGAGTTGTTAGGGTCTTTCAGGCTTATCTATAAGAGGTCCACTACGGCTCAAGCTTGGAGTTTGGAGGAACAGGGGTGGCGGCGTTAGGAGCGTAGGGCTCGGGAGTAGCAGGAAGCCTGGCAGCAATCTGCGCATGGTCTTTCCGATTCAGCAGTGACGACAAAAATGCTGAATGGTGCGAGTCCACGGGGACCGGGACACTGACTTCAAAAATCTGCTGTAAAATATGTACCGATAGAGCAAATGCGGTAACTTGACCGAAATTCCAAGAGACTAGAAATACGTTGAATGCTTAAACCCTAGATCCCCAAACCTCCTCAAACCCTCAATCCTTAGATCCCATAAAACTTCCTCCTCAAAAACTAAACCGGTGAACCACAACTGCCTATTACCATTACCATTACTATTACCATAGCCATTACCATTACTATTACTATTAAATATTATATTACTATTACAACTCTGACTTTGATGTTTTTTGGCTTCACGAGGGGCTGCAGTCTGAGCCCTTTTTGGGCTCTCTACTTCTTGTAGACCCTTCAGACACCCAGTGTAAACCCTAAAACCCTAAACCCCTAAACCCTGAGCCTTAAACCCTGAACCCCAAACCTTGAGCCCTAAACCCAAGATAGCCCTGATAAAACCCTGTTGAAATTAAAGGCCGCTAACCTCTTCGAGGCATCGCTGCACCAAGCCCGCACGCTTTTCTCCTAGTGGGCGCACTTGCTCTTGATGCTGCTGTTGGTGCAGGTAATGGTTATGTTGTGTTCATATAGTCATGACGAAGAGAAGATCAAGACGTCAATACCGTGAGAGAGCTTACGACGACAAGAATGATGACGCAGGCGATGTTGCTGGAGAGCATGATGAAGGAGATGATGCTGATGAAGACGATGATGCTGACGTTGGTGACACAACAATAAGACAGCAATCGCTGCCATAGCCAGCGAAACCAGTGCTGCAACACGACAATCAACATTGAACCACAGTGCAAGCTATTCGTATTTGTCGTTTGTCTTCCCCCTACTGCTGCTGCTGCTGCTGCTACTACTGCTCTACCACAAAATCATCGGTATAAGAAGAAACGCAGCCATCATAAGCATGATCATGAATAATGACTATATAGCTGTGTGGACACAAACGTTGATGATGACATTGGGGGCGGGATAAAGAGCAGGTGGACTCCACGAAGGAAGTTGACCGTGCTGATGATATGCTGTGCATGACGGAGCAAATCGCGATGGCCAAGACGTGTATGTTGGCGATAAACGGAGGCGAGCTTCACGATTGCCGGGTGAGACAGCGATGTTCACAGACACAGACACACACACACACACGAGAACAGCGCCATGCAAAGACCATGCAGCGACAACAGAACAGATTCATGATTCTTGTAGCCGCTTACAGGCCGGACGCCGAACTAAGACCCAGGGCTGAGGTGCTTCCTACACACAAAACATCACAACACCCTAAACCCTAATTAAACTCCAAACCCTAATATTGGCTCGAGTCGGAGTGTGCCCAGGGGCATGCCCGGTCCTTTCTCCAAGGCATTTCGCGAGGCTTGCAGCTGGGAAGCCTCCTTCGGCAGCAGAAACATCTGCTGTTACATGGACGGGTCATGAGACTCGGTTCTACTCTGCTCAATTCTATTCTGTCTACTATATTTTGTTAAACGACATTGCGGCCTTGGCTCCTTTACCCTTGGAGTTGAAAGATCGGGACTTAAGTGGGATTGCGGGCCTCACTACTACTACTACTACTACTACTACTACTACTACTACTACTACTACTACTACTACTACGACTACTACTACTTCTACTACTACTGCTACTACTACTACTACTACTACTGCTACTACTGCTACTACTACTACTACTACCACTACTGAAGGGAGGGCCTTAGGTTGAGGCATTCTTATCTCCCGGCACGTGCCTGCTGCAGCATTTTCAAGGCTTCCTTCTGTGCCGCGTATCTCTTGTCCTTAGCAAGAGGTTTGTCTGAACCAGGACCCCCGCAAGGGCCCTTGAATAGAGTCCCTATGGCCCTTAATAGTGGGAATTCGGGGTATATTAGCGGGTAGTCGGGGGTTCTGGGTATGGTTTAGGGTTTGATGTTGCCTTAGGGCTTCGGTTCTACATCGAATGATTGTAAAAGAAGAGTTTCAGTCTGACGGCAGTCGCAACAAGATGACCCAATGATAAGGTACTTGGGTTTACGATGGTAGTTATGTAGGTTAATATTTGGGAGAGTATATGATTATTAGGTACTTCAGTGCCTGTCTGACTGACCAGCAGCAGTAACTTTGCAACAGATACCACCATCGCCGCGCATGACCTGAAAGTGAACAACTGTAGTGACTGGCGATAGCAACTGCAGCTGCAGCATCATTCGCAGACCGCGGTCGCTGCAACTTCGAGCATCCCCGTGCAATATGGTGATGAAAGAAAGACGAATGCGAGTTTCCCCAGATATATGTAAGTTGAACACTACCTGGTCATAGCAGTTACCAAAATGAGCACCATCACAGAAAGCGGACAAAGGTCTTCAAATGCCAGGAGCAGTTGAATGCCGCCACCACACCCCCACAACATCTATCAAAAGTCTCCCGATGTTCCAAAAAGTCCACCCCGGAAGGCTTCTTGGGTCGAATATCCTGAAGCTCTTAAACTCGAATCCGTCGACCTCCGTGGCAAACTCTATGGGCAGTTCCCTAAGTTAGGGCCCCTGTTTAGGTCCCCCAAATAGTACGGCACCCTCATAAACAGGGCCGGAGAAGGGACCGTAATAACCCAATACGAAGGCCTACTCTCACTGAGCGAGATCGCCCTAAACCCCAAACCCTAAACCCCAAACCCTAAACCCTAAACCCCTAAACCCCAAACCCTAAACCCTAGACCCTAAACGCCAAACCCCAAACCCCAAAACCTAAACCCCTAAACCCTAAACCCGCCTCACCATGCAAGCCGGCCAGGAAAGCATTGGCCTTCTTCATTGCTTCAACCTCGCGAAATTGAACATACGGTTGATGATATAAATCCGGCATTACCTTAGGGACCCGAAACTATGGGAATTATAGTATATTCCTTATTATGGGTATATAGTGCAGGATCTATATCATCAACCGTACTTCGCGGTTTAGGGCTTCTTGTTATAAAGGAAGCATAAGGGCTCCTACACGGGATCTATAAGGTACTGTAGGGGTTTGGGGTTTAAGGTTTGTACGTGCGGGTAGTCATAAGTGGGGTCAACGTTCCCTTCAGGTGGGTGGTAACTGTATGTAGTTACCCTATTCTAAAAGCTACGTGTAACTGCCCATGAAGCGTCAAGTATGGGCCTGGAGTGATTGGAGGTGGGTTTTGGGGGGTGGTGTTGAAGTACAACTACATAATACGATTAACGGACAATACTTCTTCTTGCTAAACGTCTGAAGCCCTTGTAAAGGCCATTATTCAGAGTTGTTCCGACCTGCATTTTAGGGTTTCAGGCTACCGGGGCCTAGATTTAGAGATGAGGGTTCTTCCGCTCTTCCAAGTTGGTTTAGCCTCTTGGGGTTGTGGGTTTCGGGTGTTCAAGCGTGGAGGGTGATTCGGTGTTGCTGTTGAAGGCTCGGCAACGGCAAAAGGACTACTAATGTGCTCCTAGGTTTCCAGACTGTTCAGTTCAAGCTACACTAACCAGAGAAACACAGGTCCTGGACGGGCCTACCATACTATGTTCAGTTGAGTAGACGCCTTCAGGTGCTCCTCCTTGAAAGCCCAGGTCGGCTTCGGGCATTCTCCCCCCCCCCCGAAGGTCCTCAACTCCAATGCTAAACTCCGTTTGAACCGGTTCAGGGTTTAGGGTTTAAGGTTCAGGGTTTAGGGCTTATATGGGTTTTATGGAAATAGGCCTTCAAGGACCGCTATAGACACCTTAAAGCAACCCGTGCCTGCTTCCGCAAACACGCCACCTCGCCACGGAAGGCCTGCAAGTGACATTGGTGGGAGGCAGGGGCGACGCTTCTATCGAAGCATTCCTAATATACCAGAATAAAGCACAAAATACTGGGCCTTTGAGTAGCCAGGGAGATAAAAAGGTATAAGGCTTTATTTCTTTATGTTTCCTTTAAGACAAAAGGTGTTAAAGTATGGTTCTCCAAAACCCAGTATAGTATAGCTGACTTAAGTGCACTGTTTCATACATTGTAGTTACTGAAATATACCATAATAAAGCACAACATAACTACGAGTACCTAGAGAACTCCCACATGTACTTGGGGGAGGAGCCCCACAAGGCTTGGAGGGCTGAGTGGGATCTGACTTCTGAGCATCCTCATCTTGTAGGGTTTAAAGGGAACTCCAGAAAGTTGGAGTATGGATTAATGGTAGGATCCTCTATAATTTACCTTAAAGGGGTTACGATAATGATATTCCAACTTTCTGGCTTCTACTGTAGGGTTTCGGGTTGAGGGTTTCGGGGGTTTAGTGTTTCTTATCTATCAGGTTTTAGGATTTCGTGGGTTTAGTGTTTCAATTTTTTCAGGTTTTAGGGTTTAGGGGTTTTGTATTTTGTTTATCAGGGTTTAGGGTTTAGGGGTTTAGGGGTCTAGGGCTGTTTTTACTAATCAGGCAGGATTGGGAGTTTAGGGTTGAGGGACCCTAAACCCTAAACAAACAGGGACCCACAAGCCGCGAGAACCCGAAAACCCTAAAGCTTGTGCCTGACATTAGACAGGAGTTGCGGGATGGTTTGTCAAAAAGAGTTTCCCGTAAATCAAAGGCCTACCATGTAGGCTGCAAGCACAATTAAGGCCCACAGCTGTACCAAAGCCCTGCACCCTAAACTGGGCACACCTTGAGTCCAACAGAATCGCAGGCACGTCAAGTCTGCTTGAACGGCTTTCAGCTAGGTTCCCAGTATGTTTTTGTAAAGACGAAATACAGTCTTCTTGCCATACAATAATCCTATAGAGCCAGAAGACAAGCAGAGGAATCAGGATACTACTAGAGACTCAACTGGGACAAATACTGTCCTGCAACAGACATGAGACAGCGGTTGTCACCGTTACTGCGGATGCTCCTTCAGTTCTCTTGGACCGACAATCCTGCAGGCGAAAGTCCAAAACCTGAAACTCCAAACCCCGAGTGCTGCACCTTACACTCGACACTTTGATCCAACGCGACATGTTACCCCGCTTCACCTGAAGAAGTGGTGCTGCTTCGGTGGTATCTTCGATGCCCTCGATCTCCTGTAGATGACGGCTGGGCGTATGCCGGATCAATCGGACCTTTTCTTGCTCAAGGGCCATCTGATTGACATGTTGTTACTATATATGTTGTCGTGCTGGCTCCGCACATTACCATTCTACTCAAGTTCATGCCGTCGGCTTGCTGGTGATGAAGACATGTACGAAACATGATCATGATGATGATGATGGTGGTGATGTTGTGAAACTGTCATGAATACAATGTATCTCTTCGTCTTGCTGGCCTTGGCTGTGTTTCGTCGTGGTCGTCGTCAAGATCGCCATCGCGGCAGTTGTAGCTGAAGTATATTGTGGTGGTGGTGGCGGCGGTGCTGGCAGCAGCAGGAGTTGCAGTAGCAGGAGCAGGAGCGCTGGCGGTTGCAGCAGGAGCAACAGCAAACAAAAAGCACAGAAGCAGCTACAGGTCACGCACATGTACGTGCATGCATCGTAAAGCACGAGAGTCGGCTTTTGATTCACCAACACCACCCCACCTGCAGGATCGCCCTGCTTTCAGCATGGATGTTGGCCAAATCACGTTGCCGCCGCTCTGCCTGATTGCGGATTGAGCAAAGATAACGGGTGAAGGATTTGGCGTGCTGATCTGTTGGGATTGAAGGTCTAGGGATAAGAAGCCGAATTATACGTGCCTCCCTACTACAGGCCCCAACTTGAAAGAAAGCCTGATGTCTTCAACCTGTCTCCAAAGATCTAATGTACCTTGAAGGCTGTCCAAAGCATGATATCTACGTTTCTTCCCCTTGGCTGTGTTGATATTTTTGGGTCAAGGTGAATGTCTGGCTTTTGAGGTTCTGAAGGCAAACATCTCAACCCAGCAGATCCATCAGCCAAAAAGCACACACTGCCCTGAACCCCTTAAGCCCAAACCGTATGCATTCTCAAGAAGAAGTATAAAACTTCTGCAGACTGAGGACGGCACTTACACTCAGCATAACAACAACAAGCCTAACAGTCATTTTGGGAGGTGCGACATTAAGGTTGCCAGCATTGAGACAAGACTCTCCGGGCACTGCTGAGGAGCTCAAAAGCAAGCATAAACAACAAAGTAATTCAAGTTAAAATGAGTTACAACATCCGTCATGCGACCATGACAACAAAAACTAAATCACTGCACCGAATGTAACTGTGTCACCCAAAGAAGGTAGCGGCTACGAGAGCACCGGCGATGAGCAAAGCGATAGGAAGCAGCAGAAGTAGTGTGCCAGGTGGCAGCAGCAATGCTCGTCATAAGAAGGTCTTCCGAACTTCCCCACGCATTTACAAGACGTGAATCATTCTGTCCTCAGCTTCACGAGTACAAATCACGACGACGGTAACAGCGACAGCTCCGCCCCTTGCCCGATGCACTCCACCTAAAGCCCGATGCCCCAGAGCTCCTTTTTGCAGCCGTGATTCGGCTTCAAACCCATGTTGGGTCAAGGTCTCGTTAAGAAGGCAGGCTGGCTCAAGGTCTTAAGGCCTACTATAGGGGCCTTTATAATTAGAACAGGGTTTTGGGGCCCACTATACTATAAGTATAATAAGGAACCCCCAGGATAGTATAGGTAATCATTTAGGCCCTTATACTAATTAAGGCGCTGGCCAGCATCTGCTAACGTGATCTCTCTCAGGCCTTGCTTTTCTTTTCTTCCGCCTGCAATCGCTGCACTTCGCAACCCGAAGTCAGAAGATATGCGGGTGGTTGTCAAAATTAGGGTCCCTTTTTGGGTACCCTAAATATTAGGTGCCGTATTATAATAAGGACCCCAAAAGGGACCCTGATGCTGACAACTGCCCATGCGTTAGTGCAAAGAAGCAATTTTTCAAAAAAGTGGCCCTAAACCCTAAATACCACCGAATCACGGGAGCTTTTGTAGTAAAGCATGGATCCGCTTTGTTTGCAGGATGTGGAGACTGTCTCTCTTCTGCTGCCTTACACTGAGCCTTAAGCCTAAAATGCGAAAAATCTTAACATACGATCACGAACCCCAGAAAGTTGGAACATCGACATTGGAAAATTAGTGATAGGATTCCCCATCTTTTACCTTACGGGCAGGAGGATAACCATGTTCCAACTTTCTGGCCTCTACTTTAATAGGCCTCAACACTGGAACTAACTAATATACGGGCCTTGATGATGAGAATAGGGTTTGAGGCACCCCCCCCCGCAAAGAACTCAAAATCAGACCTGGCAATGCCCAGTCTAAAAAATTGCAAGTCAGACCCCTCTGTTGTAAACCCTAAACCCTCAACCCTTCTGTTGTCTTGCCCCTCACCATGTACGAAATCCCACAGCAACGAAGCCCCAAGCTCCAAGACCCAGAGCCCTCGGTTTAGGGTTTAGGGTCTAAGGGTTTAGGGGTTTAGGGCTTAGGGTTTAGGGTCTGGGGTTTCGGAATTTAGGGTTTAAGGGTTTACTTCAAGGATCATGGGACTTGGAAACTAGGGTTATAGTTAAGGTAACTGTACTTACGTATAGTAACTTATAACCTCACTTAGGGTACTTATAACCCCACGTACTAAGTAACATGATCCTCCAAGTAGACCCTGAACCCTGGATCCTTTAGATCCCTTTAAGGAACCCTATAGATCCCATTAAGGACCGCTTTAAGGAACCGTATACTTACTAGGTCCCATGATCCTCCAAGTAGACCCTAAACCCTAAACCCTATAGATCCCATTAAGGACCCCTTTAAGGAACCTTATACTTACTAAGTCCCATGATCCTCCAAGTAGACCCTAAACCCTAAACCCTATAGATCCCTGTAAGGAACCCTGTGGATCCTTATAAGGACTTCTTTAAGGAACCGTATACTTACTAGGTCCCATGATCCTCCAAGTAGGGTTTAGACGGAAAGCACAGGGTTTATGGGCTTAGGGTTTAGGGGCAAGTAGACCCGAAACCCTAAACCCTATAGATCCCTGTAAGGAACCCTATAGATCCCATTAAGGAGCCCTAAATCCTAGCCCAGGGGCCCCTCGGGGGCTTTGGGCTTCGGGCTTAGGGTCGTCTCCCGCAGACCTCCTGCGACATCTGTGCAGCTCCGGCGGAGGCGATCCTGGCGGCCTTGTCTTCCTCAGACGGCGGCGTGATAGAGGGGCCTTAGGGGCTCTTTAAAGGGATCCTTGAAGGGTTCCTTTAAGGGTTCCTATAAGGGATCTATAGAGTCGTAGGGTTTAGGGGTCTGGGAGTTTCGGAAAATTAGGGGGTACCGTATTTTGGGGGCCTTTTTTATAAGGATCCTACTATTTAGGGCCCCCCATTTTCGGAAACTCCCATAAAGGGGCCTCAGGGTTCCTTTAAACGGTTCCCTTAAAGGGATCTATGAGGGATCTATAGTATGGTTCTGTAGTATAGGGGCCTTAATCATTAGCATCGGGTTTTGGGGGCCCATTATAATATACGTATACTGGTATCAAGGTTTATGCTGCTTAGGGTTTAGGGTTTGCGAGCGACGGAGTATATTCAATATCCCGGCCTTACCTCTTCAGCAGACAACACAATATTGTAGAATGACGTCGGGGCTGAAAGTGAATACTCTGACCAAATACTTACACACGCACCTCTATTAGCGTCAAAGGCTTGGCGGTTGCGCTGTTGCACTCGGGCACTCGGGGTCGAGGTTTGGGCCTAGTATTTTGTTGCTTGAAGTGGCGCCCGTGAAAAGCAGTGAAACTGTTTGACGAGACTAGACCCCTTAGAGCCTGTATGTCAGAGTCAAGATTCAGCGGTTCAGCTAGGTTGCTCACTCCCAGTAACCCCGAAAAGCCCCAAGATACATAATTATCGGTCTGGCCCCAGGTTTCCTGCAAAGACTTCTCGGCTATCTGACCTGACATGAACCCTGCGCCGTGTAACCCCGTATGGAACCCCTTCAGCCCCTCATGGGAGAGGGCCTCAAGCCGTAAACCCGTATACTAAACCCCAAACCCTGAGCCATAAACAGCTAGATTTCTCTAGCACCCTGTTGCCGGACCCTCGCAGAACCCTTTCCTAAACCCTAAACCCTACACCTTTAATCTTGTAGAAGCCGGTGCCACGCTCTTTGATAGTGATCTCGGGCTCCGGCGGCTTGCTGCTGGGCGGCCGCCTGTGCTGCCACCTTTGCCTTTTCCTGCGTTTTAACTGCATGGACTTAAAGGGAACTCCAGAAAGTTGGAATATGGTTTCTGGGTAGGATACCCTATAATTTACCATAAAGGGTTTAGGATAATCATATTCCAACTTTCTGGCTTTTACTTTAAACCAGAACTTAAAACTCGAAACCTCAGTGGTGTAGGCTTTGGAAGCAGGCTTTTAGGCTTCGTGTGCAAGGGCCGTTTTTCCAAAAGCAAGTTCGCTCATGGCGGTTGCAAGCCCCATAGGGCAGGGGTTGGGTTTTGCGCTGAGGATGTTCGGGCTTCGGCCGCCCTTCGCAAGGGCCTTCACACTTAGAAAGGGCTTTGATCTATTTATATATATATATATATATGTATATATATACATATATATATATATATATATATAATATGCATATGTATGTATGTATATATATATATATATACATATGTATGTACGTATATAAGAATAACTGCAACTATATAGGGATTAACTACGAGGGGTATACACTTCCTATCTCCGAGCTTTCTGCTGGGGCTTCCATCGTTCCGGGTCTGAGGAGCTCTCTCCAGGACTTCGAGGGGCCTCAATAGTTCGAGTTTGGGGTGGTTTGGGGGGGTCCATTCTACAAGAGTTTTAATAAGGAACCCCCCCGCACAAACACAAAAAGGAAAAAAACTAAATTAGGGAACTTAACTTAGCAGGGCTTTTGGGCTCCGGAGTTCGGAGTGTTACTGCATTGGGACTTCCGCTTAGGGCAGACCCTGAGCCTTAGACCGCTAAACGCTGAACCCTAAACCGACCTCAATCAAGGCCATGAAGTTTAGGGTTTACGGTTTATAGGTATGAAGCAGTGGATTTGCAGCCTTCTGAGCTTGGAGTTTAGAGCATACCTTCTGCGACTCTGCCTGGGTGGCTGTCAAAATTTATGGTCCCTTTTTGGATCCCTAATATAATACGGCACCTAATATTTAGGGTGCCCAAAAAGGGACCTAATTTGCCAACCACCCGCCTCAGTGCCAATGTCGACGCGCTAGGGTCACTAGGACTTTTGGGGTCGGAAAATTCTATAGGTGCTACACCCCCAAACTGTACGGTTTACGGGCTCCGTGTTTAGATACGCCCACCCCTAAATCGGTGATATTCAAGATCCCGAAATGCTTGAACCCCAAACCTTAAACCCCAAGCCCTAATCCCAAAATGACTGGACCCTTTACCAGCCTCTGCAGCGTCTTTAGCGGAGTCCTTGGCAGCCTGGACAGCCTTGGCCTGGTGAGCTATCACCCTTACGGGGTCTAGGATTTAGGGTTCCTTAATGGGATCTATAAGGTTCCTTAAAGGGGTCTATAGGGTTTAGGGTTTAGGGTCTACTTGGCGGATCATCGGACTTAGTAGGTAAGGATATAAATGCCCTAAGTGGGGATATCAGTAAGTATAAGTATAGTTACCTTAATT